CTCATGATGAAATAGCTATGTCCAAATGCAGGAGCAGTGTATGAAACCTGGAATACACTCCATGATTCAGTAGTTTGTAAAACCCCTTTTGGCAGCAATAAATTAACTTTAACTTCATTTCTTCTATGACTCTCAGTTTCCTTCATCATTATGGAGGATTTTGTGACCCACTATTTTTGCAATACTGCTTCAGTTCAGTGAGGTTTTGGGCATTTGTTTATTCATGGCTCCTACCACAGCTTTTCAGTTAGAAAGGGCTGAATTTTGACTGAGTGACTGATATACCTAGATTTTTTATTTGTATTTTTCACTCATTGTCTTGTAGCTTTGCTGGTGTGGTTGGGATCACTGCTCTCTTGCATGATCCAATTTAGCCAATTTTAGTTGGTAGATAAATGGTCTCATATTTGATTCTAGAATACTTTTGTATATAGAGGAGTTAATGGTCAACTCAATGACTGCAAGGTGCCTAGGTCCTGTGACTGCAAAACAAGCACAAATCATTACCCCTCTACCACCTCTACCAGTTGGTATGAGGTGTTTGTACTGATATAATTTCTTTTGTTTTTGCCAAATATTCTCCACTTTGGTCTCATCTTTGTAAAGAATATACTTCCAGGAATCTTGTGTTTTTTCAGATGTATTTGCAAATCTTGCTACCATATTTTATTACAGAACTGAGACATTTTTCTGGCAACCCTTCCAAGCAAAACCATACTTGTTCAGTATTTTTTTTATTTGTACTGTCATCAACTTTAACATTGAACATGATAACTAAGGCCTGTAGATTCTGAAACGTAACTCTTTGGTTTTTGGCAACTTCTGTAATCCTGGGAATATTGGCACTTGCCTTGGATGTTTGCCACAATAGATTCATGAAGTTCAAATTGCTTGCTTTAAAACGTATACATGCCTTACAACTCTTCTGAGATTGACGAAGAGTAAAGTTGTTTCTCCACTATCTTTACTAACTTCTATCTTTACTATCTTTCCCCCTTACCTCTGTCTTAACACACACCTGAATGATCCAGACTAGAAAACTGCCAAAACTGCCAGTGATCACTGCAGTGTAGTTTATTAGCAGCACCGGTTGATATTAAACCTTTTAATTTCCATGGAAAACATGATTTAGTGTCATTCATCTGAGGTTGTATTTAAAGGGCAAATAAAACATAAAAGACATAAAAGAATAAGTTACTGCTACCGAAGATGCTGAAGAGGCTAACTCTTTTCCTGTTTATTAGGCCAGGAAAACTGGACTTAACTGGGTTACTGAGTATGTGCAT